TAGTGCACCATACATATTGATCAAACTCAATAAAGTATTGTAGTGAGAGCTCCAACGTATATCACCTGTACATTTAAAAACGTTTAAAAATAAAAGTGGAAAGACATTTTCAAAAAAAAAAGAAAAAGGAAAATCTAGAAGCCTAAAAATAATCTAACATGCTCGCTTAAGATCGTTTCTTAATTTAAACCACGACCATGAATTAACTTTTTTGATTGCTTCTCTCTAAGCAAATCACGACATTTGCAAGATGATCCAATAACATTCAACAACTTTGTAGTAAAATCAAAAAGTGAAGAAATATGATAGTGTTTCCTTGTAACTACTACTAAAGCTAGTTGTAGTTGGTAAGCAAAGCAACGAATATAATACGTACAAGGATTCTCATTCAGGATGAGTGTTTTTAGGCCATTAAAGTAACCTCTCATGTTACTAGCTCCACCATAACCCTAACCTCGTAATTTAGAGATACTCAATCCATATCTAGAAAAAAAAATCATCAATAGTTGTTTTAATAGTCAAAGCACTAGTATCAATAACATTCAACTCCTAGTAAGCGCTCAATCACACTGCCAAATTGGTCAACATATCTTATCACCAAGGTCATTTGCTAATTCATTCATATATCACGTGCTTCATCAACCATAAGACAAAACCGTACAATGCAATTCTGAGTAACACTGAATAAGATGGAGGTCATCCGCGCACTCCGGCACAAATTGCAGCATTGTGCAATGCTCTGGACGATGTAACTTATTGGATCCAGGCTCCCACAGCACGCCTTACACTTGGTCAAAGAAATGTCGAAACCCTCACAGTTCAATGCCGGCTTGATAGGGTTTGTGTGAACAAATCATGGCCGATTCTTTTTTCTTCACTGCTTGCAGATGCACCATTTAGATTATGCAGGCTCAGACCACATTCATATATTGTTATTGGTTCAACCGTCGCGAAGTAATAGTTTCCATTTGGGAAGGAAATATTTTCGATTTGAGGCAATGTGGATCCGAAAAAACGAATTATCGAACCAGCCGATGCAATATAATTAAAAAAAATATATTGACCTCGAATTATAAATAGACCTCGAATGCAACAAAAAAAACATTACAAATAAACAATCAAAAGAAAAGTTTAAACTTAAAAATTAAATAGATAAACAAGATCATTAATAATTAGACCTCGAATGCAATATATATCAATAGAGCTAGCAACGAGTCGGTTTTGGGGCGGATTTACCTAAATCCAAGACCCCATCTGCGAAAAATATATAAAACTCAGACTTGCTCCAACTCATTTTAGCTTTGACCCAAACCAGTCCCAACCCATACCCGAATTAAACAGTTCTGACTCACCAAATTCATTACTCGTTAACATAAAAACAATTAATATTTTTTAACTTTCATAATACTTTTCTCGTATATTTTAACAAAAGTTTTTTTGAATTAAAATACGATATTTTAATTTTTTTTAAAAGGGATATAAAGTGAATAATAAAATTATGTAATTATTTATAATTAACTTCTACAATAAATAAAGTTCAAAATGCAAGACGGCTAGCAGTGGTCGACAAGCTTGATATATATTACTTACGATAAACAAGATTCAAAAAAATCAAACTGTGAAAAATTGACAAATGAGAATAGCCACGATGAAAATTGGAAGTTTGATAAATGAAATCCTAAATTAATTTATATATTATAATTAACTATTAAATATAATTATACGGTCGGTTCTGGGTCGGTTCCAATAAGACTCGTAACCCGATCATAACTATCCAACTCTAGAAACTTAAACTCATTACCCGACCCAAAACCATTTAACTAACCTAGACCCACCCTATAAACGGGTCGATTCTGGGTCTAAAACTCGGCAAATTAACTCTTACCCATTGCCAACCCTATATATTGACCAGCCCCTACAGACCGTTTCAAGTTCTCCTCCATATACTTAACGACGTAAGTAGGTGCGGATCTTAACAGCCCAAAGTCCGAACCTCATTGCGTCAATTGCCATGCAACTCCAATTGATTTTATTTTATTTTATTTATTTATTTATTTTTATGGTTAAAACGATATCAACTATATTACTAACGAGCATTATTTTCATGCACATCCCTAAAACATATACACTCGAATTCTTTTTTTTTTGTTTTTAATTCGAATAGTAATTATAAGCGCATTTTTTGCTTAGGCGTCGTCTGGTTGTTAGGATAATATTAAATAATCTAATAAAACTTAATCATATTATTGGACTTAGTAAGCTTCAACGAAAAACATGTTTTGATGGCAAAATTAAGCCACGATAACATAATATTTACGGGTCAAACCCAGTAAGTCACTGAGAATACCAAATATCAAACAAATTCCAATTATTTAGTTAATAATGACTAATCTCTACAACCAAACAAGACTTTAGTCTCTTACAAGCACGCAGACAAAATATACATGTGACTTATTCGTACAAATATTTGACTAACTTTTTTCCTCATTCATATGTATATATAATTTTTAATTGTTCTCCCCCAACTAATTTGTTTTTTCTTATCTTGAAATAATTTAAATTTAACAATTAATTAATTTAATATTGTGTATTTTTTTTAATACAACTTAATCATCACAATGTTAAATTTTCTTCATTTTTGCAATACCATCGAGTGCATCACTGGGAAGAATTACTAGTTTATTTATAACTTCGACTGTCTTGAAGCCAGTTTAATTATATGGATATATCAAGTAGTCAAACTAAGATATTTCAATCCAATGTAATGTTAACTAGTTACATGGTATGAATGTAATGTAACTAATTAATTACATGTAATGAATTGTTATCAAATTTAATAGAGTTCACATGGTATGAATGTAATGTAACTACTTACATGTAATGAATTGTTATAGTTAAAGAAAAAATAAAAGGTAAATAGTTCAAAAAACATATTTAATTTAGTGGTAGAGTCAAGATTAACACAATAATCCAATGGTTTTGTATATGTATGTGGCGAATTGTTTGTGTGAATGTCAAAACTCGTTACTTCAAAAACAATTACAATTTCATAATTCTTTAAATCTTATTAGACTTAATCCAACTTTATCATTTTAAATTTTGAAATTACATACAGATTTTCCTTTAATTTCTCTATATATAATCCCAAATCCCTGCACAACAAAACAACATTAACATTGCATTATAATACAAAAATACACTCACACAAAGAAAGGTGCGTGCAAAGGAAACATTTCTACAAATATATGTTAGCTTCATTATCTGCACTTTATTGTGTTTTACTTCTTCAGAAAACGCAATTTGTTACGGCAGAAAAGGCAATTATTTGAGCCATGTTACGTCGTCACCAGTAAAATATTCGATGAAAGCTTTGGTTTTTGATGTACGGAACTACGGTGCTAAAGGTGATGGATCTACCAACGACGCAGCGGTAAATTTACACTTATAGATAATTAACAATTATGTTGTACTATCTTTGTGATAGTGTTACTAACTTAATTTAGATAATTAATTAAAATTTAATTTGACAATATAAAAAAATGCAATTTATTTCGTTTTGTCACGGCAGGCATTTCAGGCAGCATGGAATGCAGCATGCGAAGCGAATGGAGCGGCGATGGTAGTCCCTGCGGGATATACCTTTCTTCTTCAACCAATAACTCTTAATGGAAATTCTTGTCAATCCAAAATTGTTGTCCAAGTAAATTTCATCTTCAAAGTTCAAATAGTAAAAGATAATTTTATCACAAGATTTTTCAAAATTTGTTATTATTATTATTAATTCACTTTTTTCTTTTTTTTAGATTGATGGGAAAATCGTGGCACCAAATAAATCGCAGTGGTCAAGCAACGGTTTTCAGTGGATTCTATTCTCGCAGATGGGTAAAGGTATAATAATTCAAGGCAATGGCATGATTGATGGGAGTGGTGACTCTTGGTGGAGCTCCGGGGACACGCCGCACGTTAGTATACTATACTACCACTCTTTAATTTTACTAATTTTTTCACTCTTTTAAGAAAACGTTTGAGGTGCAGGCATTGAGAATTGTGGATAGTTCGGACGTTGCGATACTAGGAATAAAAGTCCAAAATGCCCATCGGATGCACATTTATATCGACAATTGCCAATCCGTCACCATCTTCAACGTCACCATTTCTTCTCCAGGCGATAGCCCCAACACCGACGGGGTCCATTTAACACATGCTCAGCACGTGGAAATTTACAGCAGCAATATTGCTTATGGTACATACGTAATTATTTATATTCAACTTACCACATCAATTTATCAATATTCCTTCATTGCCATCTTATTTTTTTAATTGATAATGTAATTTTCGTTTATTCGAAAAAAATATAACTAGTTGATGAATTAAGTAATATACTTATATACTATACGAAAATATATATATATATATATATATATATATATATATATATATATATATATATATATATATATATATATATATATATATATATATATATATATATATATATATATATATATATATATATATATATATATATATATATGCAATTTTACAGTTAAATATCTGTAAATTAATACAATTGGGACCAGTAAATTCTATTAATTTACCGAAATATTAAATCATTGAACTAATAATTAAATACGTTTTTATCGAGTCTGGATGCTGGAGAAATTATTATTTAGTCGAGGTTATTAATTTATCGAAGTTCTACTGTATATTGAATTTTGTAGGAGATGATTGTGTCTCGATACAAACTGGAACCAGTGATGTTAAAATACATAACGTGAATTGTGGACCTGGACATGGTTTCAGCATTGGAGGATTGGGACCGGACAAGTCCGAAGCTCACGTTTCCGATATTAATGTTTACGATTCTACATTATCCGACGCGCTCTACGGCGTCCGGATTAAAACTTGGCAGGTTGTTATCAAAACTAAACTCTCTCTCTCTCTCTCTCTCTCTCTCTCTCTCTCTCTCTCTCTCTCTCTCTCTCTCTCTCTCTCTCTCTCTCTCTCTCTCTCTCTCTCTCTCTCTCTCTCTCTCTCTCTCTCTCTCATAAGTGAAAATTAAATTGAATTTTCGTTACAACTCCGTACAGGATGGAACCGGGTCGGTGAACAACGTAACATTGTCGGGCATCACAGTGAGCAACGTGCACAATCCAATCATAATAGACCAGAACTACTGCAATGGGGCCCACGGCTGCTCCGGCACGACTACGAATGCGGTGGCGATATCCAGTGTGACGTACAAGGGTATAACGGGAACATATACTGTTACACCAGTTTCCCTTGATTGCAGTCAATACAAAGCGTGCTCTGATTTAACGGTTTCCTCCATAAACCTAACGCCATCGGGCTCTGCAAAGCCCGACGTTGTCTGTAACAACGCTTTTGGTCATGTGCTTACTCCTACTACGCCTTCGTTAACTAATTGTCTAAAATAATTAAGAAGTAAAATATCCATACCCTCACGGGGAATTAAAAAAATAAATAAGAGAAAATAATAATGAACTTTGTATTTCGTATGACGTGTATTATTAGTCTTTCATCAACCCCACTCTCTCTCTCTCTACTTATATATCAAAAACATGTTTCTAGCTAGCTAGTTGGATCTTAACATTTTAAATTAGAGTTTAAATTCTCCCTGGATGAGTTGATTATGCACAATAATCGGATTCCATTCATATTATGCCACGTGAATGATTTAATTAACAAACTCTAAATCTAATTAAACTAAATCAAATTACCATAGTTGTAAATTTTGGGTTAACACTAACATTTCAAAAAATGGTTAACAACTAACGAAATAATAATAATAATAATAATAATAATAATAATAATAATAATAATAATAATAATAATAATAATAATAATAATAATAATAATAATAATAATAATAATAATAATAATAATAATAATAATAATAATAATAATAATAATAATAATAATAATAATAATAATAATAATAATAATAATAATAATAATAATAATAATAATAATAATAATAATAATAATAATAATAATAATAATAATAATAATAATAATAACAATAATAATAATAATAATAATAATAATAATAATAATAATAATAATAATAATAATAATAATAATAATAATAATAATAATGATGATAATAATATTAATAATGATGAGTTATATTTTTTTGCTTATATTGAAGTTGTTGATATGATGATGGAGGAAAAGTATTTTTTTTAAATAGTGTAGGTGATGAGGATTAAATGCACAAACCCACTTCTTATACAATTATGCCCACGAGAAATCATGAGATTGTCCTCGTGCATTTTTTGTTAATTGAATT